GTGTCTCTGATTTTTAAATTGTAGCTGGAGCCTAAGGCCCTGCTGGGTGTGAGCTGTGCCCTGGCAGAGCTCAGGTCCAGATTCACTGAGCCCTGGCAAATGTGCTACACATGAATTGTCTTGTTAAACAAACCCACAGTGTTTCTGGTCTAACAGGGCTGAGCTGATGTTATGCTGTGGTGATTATTGATTGTGCTGAGGTGGCTGTTAACATGTCTCTGTAGCTGGAGCCTAAGGCCCTGCTGGGTGTGAGCTGTGCCCTGGCAGAGCTCAGGTCCAGATTCACTGAGCCCTGGCAAATGTGCTACACATGAATTGTCTTGTTAAACAAACCCACAGTGTTTCTGGTCTAACAGGGCTGAGCTGATGTTATGCTGTGGTGATTATTGATTGTGCTGAGGTGGCTGTTAACATGTCTCTTCTCATTCTTTCTCCAACCTTCCTGGAACTTTTGACAGTTGCGAAGTGAGAAGGAGACGAGGAATAAGCTGATTGAAGCTGACATGAATGGGAAGCCTCAGAGCAGACTCTTCACCAAGTAAGTCTCTTCCTCTTAGTTGAAAAGAAGCTGCCCAGAGAGTAATGAGATATCAGATTCAGGTGTCCCAGCCAGCTGGGCTCAGCTGGGGCAGGAACAGACTCTCAGTCTCCTGAGCTGGAAGGACCCACAGAACTCATCATCCCTGGAAGTGTTTAAGAGGTGTCTGGATCTGGTGTTGGAGGATATGGTTTAGGATTTAGGGGTTAGCAGCAGCAGGTTGGTGGTTGAACTAGATGATCTTAGGGGTCCCTTCAAACCTTGATGCTTCTATGATTCTAAGCCCACCCCCTGACCCTGCACAATCCACCCTGTGTCTGAGCACATTGGCCAAACACTCCTGGAGCTCTGTCAGCCTTGGGGCTGTGACCACTGCCCTGGGGAGCTGTTCAGTGCCCAAACACCTCTGGGGGAAGAACCCTCTCCTAATATCCATCCTACACCTCCTTGGCACAGCTCCATGCCATTCTCTTTGGTCCTGTCACTGGTCACACAGAACAGAGGTCAGAGCTGCCCCTGCACTGCCCCATGGGAGGAAGTTGTATGCAGTGATGAGGTCTCCCCTAAACAATTCACAGATGTTCACTTCATGGTTTCTCTTAAATTTGAGCTCTCAAATACAGTTTGAGCTGTTTCTTAACATAGCCACTGAGTGGTGGAACAAGGGGTTGGGCTGGAGCTTGGTTCTCCAGCTCCTGCTCCTGCTTTGAGCTGGTAACTCCACCTTTGTGTGGCTCAGAGCATCCAGCCCAGCTCTGGGTTGGTTATGTGGCACTAGGACAAGAGAGATCACATTCTTTTGGATGGAAAAATGCTTTCAAATTTAGGAACTGTGAGCCTGGCAGTGGAATCCATGGCAAATGGGCCGTGCTGGGGGGGCTGAGGCTGTGTATGGATTTGGTCCTTCACTTGTTCTATATGTAGCAAATGATGTCTGTGTGTTCCTGAGAAACAGAGCTCAGAAATAACTCACTTGCCTGGTAGGCCCTAAAATGTCTTTATTTTGCAGCAAAGAGAAGATTCTCTATGAGGAAGACACACTGAAGTCCCTGGAGATGGAGGAGGAGAACAAGGATTCGAGCAGTTCCAGCTCTGAAGAGGAAGAAGCTGAAGATGAAGTGTCAGAATCAGATGCTGAAAAGGAGTCGGGTAAGGCTTGGTACAGTCTGGGGTTTGATCATTAGCCTAGCTAATAATGTAATTATTATTTGTTAATAGGTAATTAGTTGTAAAAGATATCCTGAGAGTCTGATTTCCAGTATCTGTATGCAGAACATGGAGAACTCTGGAATAGTGTACTAAAGTCCTGATCCAAACACTGACCCCCAGGTCAGCATCATTTTTCCCAAAAGAAGCTGCAGATCCTATTTTCATTTCTATTTCCTATCAGCTCACTTGAATTTAAGGTAACACATTGCTCATAGCTTGTTCTTAAACAGTAGGGGTTTTTTTGTTGGCCAAGTTCAGGCTGAATCCTTCAGGTGCTGCAGGAGGGGAGAGAAGCAAGTGAAGGTGGAGGGAGGCATTAATTAGCCTCTTGTGTTTGGATCAGAGACATGGAGTGAAGGGCTGAAGCTGCTGTGAGTAATTACAGAGATGAGGCACTTTTTTTTTCTGACTGTGATGTCTGATGGTTGCAAAACATAGTGGGAAATAAGGATTAAATCCATCAAGTCCCGTTACCCTTCACATCGTAGGATGTTGCTGGCAGCTTGCTCCCATTCCTTCTCCAAAATTTCTGTGGCTTCCTTAATTAGTTTAAACAGTGTTTTGTGCAGCACAGAAAGTTTAAATAAAGGTGCTTAATTTTACAGTAAGCCAAGACTGACTTTTACAGTAAATCCAAGATCTTGGACTATGATGTGTTTAATGGTTAAACTACTTATAGCATCAGCTTCCTTGGCCTGTGTCCCAAAATACTAACAATAAGTCCTTGAGAAGTGTGGTTTGAGGTTTTGTTCTGCTCCTGTGCCAGTGAAATTGTCACCTGTGTTCTGATTGTATCAATGAGCACAGGGCAGGGTGAGAGGTGTGGAAAGTCCAGGAGCAGAGCTGCTGTTATACAGTTAGCTGGACAAGACAGGGACATGGGGAAATCATCTTTTGGCCTTTAAATCAAGCAAGCCTAGTGCAGAAGTCAGTGGTAGGAACAGATACACAGTAGAAGTCACATCTGTTTGCTCCATAAGTCAGGAGTTTACCATGATTATATACATATATATGTATAAATTATGCCTGTAGAGCTTTGTGCCAATCCTTATGATCCTTGTGAATGTGGTGGGAGCTTGATCAAAACACCTCCAATGCATGTGTATGTACAACTGTGAGACCTAGAGCTGTGTGGGGTTTAACTGAGACAGGAACAGCCTCAGACCCCTCAGCAAGGAAAGCTCTCCAGCACTCAGCATTACATTCTGTGTGAAGCCAGAGAAGGTCTTTTTATTGCATTAATTCACCCAGCAAAGCACATTACACTAATCTATTTGCAACCACTAAAGCTAATACAAATTGAAGACAAAAAGCATTCAAGTAATGACTAAACTTCAGGCTGCAGCCTTTGTGCTCTCCTGTCCTGGAGAGATTATTTGCTCTCTGGAGAAATTTCCATCAGAATTGAAACCCCAACTAGGAAACTTGTCAAATCTCTGATAAAATGCTCATGGACTGGCCCAGCTGGATGCAGACACAGTTGTCAGTTGTGGCATATGTGAGTGGGGGTCACATTTTTGGTACTCTTTGTAAAGCAAGGTATGAGCTAACAGCATCAGGCCACAGGAGGACTCCAAAGAGGAGGAGAGGTGAAAGTGGCTTTCGAGAGTGAAAATGATAAACATCACAGTGTTACTAGTTTCAAATACAAACAGCTGTATCCTGGGCTGGTCCTGCTACATGGGCAGCAGGTGAGGGGATTCTACCTCTGTGCTCCCTTCAGGTGAGACACACCTGCAGTGCTGCCTCCAGCTCTGGGGCCCTCAGCACAAGAAGGACCTGTTGGAATGAATCCAGAGGAGGCACCAAGATGATTAGAGGGATATGGAGCAGCTGTGCTCTGAGGAAAGGCTGAGAGAATTGGGATTATTCAGCCTGGAGAAGAGAAGCTTTGGTGTGACCTAACTGTGGCCTTCCAGTGCCTGAAGGAGCTTGCAAGAAACATGGAGAGAGACTATTTACAGGGGCCTGGAGTGCCAGGGGATTGGGGAATGGCTTCCCACTGCCAGAGGGATAGATGTGATATAGGGAAGGAATTCCTCCCTGTGAGGGTGCTGAGGCACTGGCACAGGTTGCCCAGACCAGCTGTGGCTGCTCCATCCCTGAGAGTGTTCCAGGCCAGGCTGGACAGGGCTTGGAGCAACCTGGGCTGGTGGGAGGTGTCCCTGCCCATGGCAGGGGTGGGGTGGGATGAGCTTTAAGGTCCCTTCCAATCCAGGCCATCCTATGATTCTGTGGTTCTGTCACAGTATGTTCAGGGGTTGGAATGGACCTCAGTGCCAACCCCCTGCCCTGGGCAGGGACACCTTCCACCAGAGCAGGTTGCTCCAGGCTTAATCCAGCCTGACTGTGAACACTGCCAGGGTTGGGGCAATGATTATCTGTGATTATCTGTTAGATATTCAAATGCTGGGCTGGGACAGGAGACATGGGTGTGAAAACATGGAAATAATTCCTTTATTCCTCTTCATTTCCTATAACACTCATAGCTGTGTCACCCCGAGCAGTGCTGGACACTCAGATGATGAATGTTGTTCTAAAGTGTCCAAACTCCAGAGGAAGCAAAATACAAATACTGAGTGATCTCGCTAACCCTAAAACTCCAACTGCTGTGGTAGCTGAGCAGAAAGCAGGGCACAGAAACTGGCAGTGTCACACACAAGGTTATTTTGAGGTGTGTTTTGAAGAGTCTCAGGTTGCCAGCAGTTTGTTGGATTTGCAGAGGCTGTAGGAAGGAGAACTGGATGAGGGAAGCAGTGGAATTGCTGGAGGCTTCAGAGTAACATGTTTCCTCCTATCTGCAAGGATTTTGTGTATTTCAAACAAAGGGAGCTAAGTGCATTAATGCTCTTCATTCATCCTGAGGACAATTAATTTGGCTTTGAGTTGTATATAAACAAGAGAAAGCTCAGTATAAATTCCATGGTCATTATCTGTGCTGGGGCCTGTTACAGTATGTAGTTACTGGAACTAAAGCCAGGGAAGCTTTCAGTGTTGTTTGGTTTAAAAACCAACCAAACCAAAACTCTAAACCAAAAACCCTTAAGAGAAAGGAAATAGAAAACTAAATTTTTACTTTCCCCAAATTTGTCTGGGGCAGATTGAACTAATCCTCAGCAGTTTCCATTGATTTGAATTTGTTATGTCTATTGCTGGAATCTGAGGACAGTAAGATGTGGATCTGGCCCTGAAGCTCTGCCCATGGCTGTACCACCTCTGCTGCCAGCACAGGGTCCTCGTGCCTGTCCTGCTGCTGCAATCCTCTCCCTTCAGTCACACTGCTCACAGTTAGTCCTTCCCAACCTGTCATTACCACTTAAGCCTGTTCCCTTCTAATTAGGCTTGACCTTAACAGTGACCTCTGAGCTGTAAACCTCCAGAGCAGGCTGCAGGCCTGGCCAACCTGCTGCAGGCTCCCCTCTTCAGGGCCCTGTGTGGCATTCCCTGTGCCTTTCCATGGGCACAGATTCCAAGGATGCCAAGCCAGACCTGCAGGGAGGAGTGGGTGATCTGCCCCTTCGCCAAAGGGCTGTGGGAAGCTGCAGTGCAGCTCAGTGTTAGGTTCCACAGCTGAAATCCTCTGCTTAGACGACTTGGATGGAAGTTCTGAGACAACAATCTCATGCAGATCTGAGGGAATGGCTGGAGCTGTGTCACGTAGGACTAGGCTGGATATTAGGCAAAGGTTGTCCCCCCAGAGATGTTTGGGCACTGAACAGCTCCCCAGGGCAGTGGTCACAGCCCCAAGGCTGAGAGAGCTCCAGGAGTGTTTGGCCAATGCTCTCAGGCACAGGGTGCATTGTTGGGGTGTCCTATGCAGGGCTAAGAGTTGGACTGATGAATCTTGTGGGTCCCTTCCAGCTCAGGGCATTCTGTGATTCCATATTTGTTTCTTTAATTTGGGCTCTGTCAGTCCTACTAGCTGCCTGTTATTTTTAAATGTTTCCCTTGGCTTCTTCTTTTCTGTTTTCCATGTCTTTTGAATCCCTTTTTCTCTAGGCCTGAGAACATTTGTCTCAGGATTGATCTCCACACTCCCAGGTGCTCCATCCCAAACTGCTGCAAATGTGTAACAGCAGATCCTTATTCCCTGCACACACCTCATTTGCTAGGACTGTTTGGGTGTTTGTGCTTGAAATTGCTTTGTTTTTATCAAGCCATGACTGGATGGGGACTCAGAGCTGGGAGGAGAACACTGTAGGTTGGTGTAGGTCCATCATTTTTCAGGCACATTGCATGTGGTTGGGTTTTTGGTAAATCCTCTGTCTCCCAGCCCTGTGCACTCCTGTCCACTGAACCTAGTGCCTGAGGCATACTTTCTGCTTCCTCTCCCCCTGGTGATGTGTGGTGGATGTTCTTCTGTCAGGCATGGTGCACAGATACAAAAATCAGTGAAATAAGTGGGCAAGCTGCACTTGTGTAGCAAGCAGAGAAGCATCTGTGGGTTGGACAGAGGTTGCGTAGAATCATCAAGGCTCGAGGAGACCTCTGAGATCATCAAGTCCAACCATTAAGCTGTCACTGCTGCAACCCCTAGCCCCTAAACCAGATCCTCGAGTGCCAGGTCCAGACACCTCTTAAACATCTCCAGGGATGGTGACTCCACCATCTCCCTGGGCAATATTCCAGTGCCTGAACACCCTAACACAGAAAACATTTCTCCTACCATCTCCTCTGCCTCTGCCCTGTCTCAGCTCAAGGCCATTCCCTCTAGTCCTCTCCATGCAGCCATGGCAGGAGAGACATCCCCACCTCTCTCCAACCCTGTCAGGGAGTTGGAGAGAGCCATGAGCCTTCTCCAGACTGAACAGTCCCAACTTCCTCAGAGCCCTTCCTCATGTGCTCCAGACCATTTCTGCCCTTGTTGCCCTTCTCTGGACTCTCTCCAGTGCCTCAATGGCCTCTTTGCAGTGAGTGCCCAAACCTGATCCCAACACTGAGCTGTGACCTCCCCAGTGCTGAGTCCAGGGGGATGAGCACTGCCCTAGTCCTGCTGCCACACTGTCCTTGCTCCAGGCCAAGATGCCCTTGGCCTCCTTGGCCACCTGGTCACACTGTTGGCTCACACTGAGCTGCTGCCACCAGCACTGCCAAGTCCCTTTGTGACCAACACCTCTCCAGCCTCTCCTCCCCCAGCCTGGAGCTCTGTGGGGGTTGTTGTGTCCCAAGGGCAGGACCAGCACTGAGCCTGATTGACCCTCCTGCAGTTGTTCCCAGCCTATGGATCAAGTGTGTCTTGCCTGGAGCCCTGGGAGGGTTTGGTGAGCAGGACTTTTGACTTCCTGTAGAAAATTGATTTTGCTGCAGAAGAACAGAAGTTCTGCCAGAGAACTGTGCAGTGAAACCACCACCAGGCACTCAGGGCGTGGGCTGTAACATAGTCATGTGCCACAGCAGGGACAGTATGTGCTGCTTTCCATCCCAAGTTCTACGAGGGAAGAACCATCTCTGATAGGAAACAAATCTGTGAAAAACAAAGAATCTGTTTGTCCTCCCTATGGTGTTTTCCACAGAGACTTTGCTTGTCTGTGAGGATCAAGTCCATAAGCTTTGCCTGGGAAATGTATCCATTGTATTCTCTAGCTCCTTGCAGAAAGCCTTGGCTTAGCCTCCGCTCTGGCATCATCTGTGATCCAAGAGGGCTGAGGTGACACACTGCTGACCTGGAGTGTAGAGCACACTCTGTGTTCAGAGGAGCCTCGGAAGTGCAATATTGAAACATTTGGTTTCTCTTCTTCTTTCACATTGCAGAGAGGAAAGAGGAGCCCTTTGCCAACCACTCCAGCAGGGAGTCCAGGCCCAGCACCACTGAGCCACCACCTGAGCCAAACTCCTTCACTGCAACTGCCAGAAGAGTAAGTGGATTTGAACCAATGGGGACTGCAGCAGTGCTTGAGAGCAGGAGGACCCCCTGGGACATGGATGTTCTGAAACCAGAGGAGTTTGAGACTTGAATTCTGTTGGCATGGGATTCTGATACAGATCAGTATCAGTGTGGGACTGGCCCCAAGGAGGTGTTGGTATGATAAAGTTCTTCTTCAGTCTCTGACCCTCCAGAGCAAGTTGCACTGCTCACAGAAACACAGCTGACAGCTCTGGGGGCTGTCAGTCCTCAGATGGCTGATGCCAACCTCTCCCCAGGAAGTCTTTCACCAGAGCTGGTTCCTGCTGGAGTATCAGCAGTGAACTTGGCATCATCATCTCAAGTGCCTCTGACTTGCCAAAGCCAGTGACTTGGTGGCATGATGTTCCAGCCCAGCAGGCAGAGGGGATGGATGGCATGTGACTAGCTAGTTACGCTGTGAAAGCTGTGAGAGGTGAAGCAGTTACTGAAATCTTACCTGGATGCTCAGCTCTCACGTCACTTAGCTAGATGGCACCAGGAGACTCTGCTCTGCCCAGCACTGCTGTCTTGTACTGCTCATTTCTTGTACCAGGCTGTGGAGAGCAACACCACAGGCACCTGGGCTAGGAATGAAGCACTTGATGCATGTCAGAGGGAAAAGGTTTCTTCCTTAGTCACGATTTTTTACTTTTCACATTTTACTAAGTGTAGCTTCTCATCCAGATCCAATGAAACAGCTCCTCTGGGCATTGTTCAGCCAGGCTGGCTTAGCAGGGGAACTGCTGGAGGTAGAAGGGTACTGGGAGGTGTGAGCACTTCAGTTAACCTCTTCCCAGCTGTAGTCTCACTCCTTCAAGCTGCTTAACCCAGACTAAGGCTGTTAGGGCGTGGACTTATATCAGGGTACAGGAGTTGGCCTGTGTGCACAGCAGTTATTAATTTGACCTCAATTACTTAACCATCAGCTGCTTTACCTTCTCTTGCATGTTTGATTTTCCTGTGACTCTCTTTGACAGCCTGAGCTTTAGCTGAGAAAATCTGAGTGGTTGTGTTGCATTCCCTTCGTGGAGTTATTAGGTATTAGTAGTTATCAGTTTGTGCTGTTCCTATGTTCAGAACTTACAGACAACTTTTGCTGTGGATTTGAGCTCTGAGGAAAGCATTGAAGCTACATTGAAATGTCAGAGCTGTGGAGCTCAGATAGCTGGAGGTGCTAGAAATGCTGGAGCATAGCTTAACCCTTTGCACCTGCATTGAAATGACATTAGCTGAAAACATTGCTCAGACACTGCAGGGAGAACTTTAGCTTTGCAGACCTGAGTCAGTGAGGCTGAGGGCAGAGCTCCCCACTGGCTCCGTTGGTTCTGGATAATGTCAGATGGTTTGTGGCATGTAGGATATGATATAATGCTTAGATCAGCTTTGACTGAAAGCCTTGTCTGCTCAGTGTTCTGTCCCTGACAGTGACCAGCAGAGAGACCAGAGAAGATAGAATCTCACTGGACTTCCTTCCCACCTTGTAGCACTTGGCATTTCAGGGTCTCCCTGAGCCTGGAGTGTTTTTTGGCTGCAGTAGCCCCTGTGGGACTTTTCCTCTGTGAATTGATGCAGTCACTTTTCGATTGGGATCCTCTAATATCCAATGGCAAAAGGTCCTACAGCTTCATCACAAACCCTACAGAGCTCCTGCCCTGTTCCATTAGCCTGCCTCACTCTGGTTTGTTTGCTGCCCTACATTGCTTTATGGGAAGGACCAAGGAATCCTTATTCACCCTTCTCTGTGCCACTGGAGGTTTTGTGTACCTTGGTCTTATCTCAGCCTGGAGACTTCTGATACACTGAATATCTCCTCATACAAAACCACTCTTGTTCTACTTACTGCCTTTCTCTGGATCTCTTCCTTTCCTGCCTGCTGCTGCTGAGCTATGTGTGATCCCAAAGATGTGATTGTACCTGCACAGCACAGAGCCCTGATGGTGGTGTGTTTCCTATTGTGTTTGGCATTCTCTGCTTTCCCAGTAATTCCTGATAATTGATGTGCTTTGTTTCCTCTACAACTCGGTGTTGAGCCCCTGTACAAGTCTCTTGTGGTGCTCAGGCTCCATTCTTGGGTGGCTGTAGGCAGCTTTTTGTAAGAGTTGAGAGCTGTGACTCAAGTTGTACATTGAAGCAGTTGGATATCTGAGGAGTAATAGATGCTGGTCAGAAATGGCTCATGGAACAAGAGGCCTGTGTTGTGTACAGAGTCTGCACTGACCTGCCCATGGAAGGGTTTGTGCTTGAAGGGGTCTCTGTGAGGCTGCAGTCCAACCTCCTGCTCAAAGCAGGGCTGACCAAGCCCATGTCATGTTACTTTGACCTTCCTGTGCTCAGCTGAGTGTTCAAAGGTCTCTGAGGGTGGAGATGCTCCACTCTTACTCCCTGTCCTAGTGCAGCTTCGCTCCTGCCAGGAGCTGTATCTCCCTCCATGTCACCTGGGATTTCCCCTGTTGAAACCTGTCTGTTCTCCTCCGTTCACTGCAGAATGTTGACAAGTCTGGCTCCGTGTCCTCTGCAAACCCACCCCAAGTAGGAGAGCAACTAAATCCTTCCTTTGCCTTCTCCTTCCCACACCAAACAATCCAGGTGTCCTCAATCTCTCCCTTTACATGTCGTTGGCTCCAGCTCCCTGATGATCCTAATGGCTTCTCCTGGACTCCCCCAGTGGTTTCTTTGCAGCTGTGCCCAAAAGACTTAGTACTTGTTTTTGGGTTTCTGCCTTTACAGAATAGTTTCCCCTTCCTTAACAAATGCTAATAAAAGCTTCATTGTTCCTTATATTCTTTCCTCAAAGCTGGAGGAGCACATTGTGTAGGTAAAGAGCTGCACAGTGACACAAGGTTCCTTTGATTCTGTCCTTGGGAATGAGGCACTACAGCAGCTTCATCCCTGTGAGTTCACCTTAAGCTCTGTCCTGTAACTGAAGCAAAGCAGGAAATCAAAGTCACTCCATCTACACGTGTGGCCAGCAAAAACTGGGCCTTGCTGAGATGCTTTCAGCCCTCAGAGTGTGCCTTGCAGTTCTCTTACCTCTTCCCAATGTCCCTGTTTCTCCTCCACAGTTCAGTTGGCTCAGCAAGTCTGAGGAGCAGAAGGATGAGTCTCCCTCGTCGTGGCGCCTGGGGCTGAGGAAGACAGGCAGCCACAACATGCTCAGTGAGGTTGCTGCCACCAGGGAGGCACAGAGGGACAAGAGTGCCTCCATCTACCGTTCCTCGTCCAGTCCTCGGATATCTGCACTGCTGGACAACAAGGAAAAGGTTTGCCTTTCAGCAGAGATGTTTTGGTGCATCCCACTTCACCTCACGGGTATAAGATCCTTTCCCTTTCAGTCATTGCTGGGGTTGGTGTCCATAACAAACTTGGGGCTCTTTCATTCTTTTTCTTTGGGATCAGTTGTTCCTCCAGAACTGGAATTTGGTGCCCCTTTGACCCAGTTCCTACTCGGTTTGGACTGGGCTGGAACTGAACAGGGGCTGCCAGTCTGGTGTGGCCTGTTCTCTACCAAAAAATGCCTAACCCAGGAAGCAGCACATAGCTGCAGTAGAAATTGTCCTTCCCTGTCACCTGTATGGATTCCTTCTGTATCCACCAGCTGTATTTGTGAATCCCACCCCACACAATCACTGACTGGAACTTCTCTGCACATGAGTAGATTCCCTGGAAGTGTTTCAGGCCAGGCTGGATGAGGCTTGGAGCAGCCTGATCTAGTGGAAGGTGTCCCTGCCCATGGCAGGGGATTGGAATGAGATGAGCTTTAAAGGTCCCTTCCAACCCAAATCCATCTGGGATTGTGATTTATAAGTAATTCTGTAAGTTAGAAGGTCTTAAGGAAATCTCTTTCAGAACTGAGACTTTAATACTGTGGTATGTGTTGCCCAAGAAAATGCCTTCAACCAGTTGTCCTTAGATAGGAGAACTCTTTCTTGGTTAAGAAAATTGAACATGAATTTAGTTGCCACTGAACTTGCTGGAAGTGTAAGAGATGTGCAGCTGAAGTACCTCTGTTCCTTCACCAGGACAAAGACACCAAGAGCTACCTTGCCACCATAGCCCCCAGAAGGCTGAGCAGTACCAGTGATATAGAAGAAAAAGAAAACAGGTGAGACAGGCTGAAGGTAATGCTCAGCCTCCATCCCATCACTAGTTCCTCTGCAATAGCATTTTGCTGTAGTCATGCTTCATATATTTCCTCAGCAGCCCCAAGTACACAGGAATTCTCAATGCCTTGTTCCTTTTATAGGCACTTGCCTTATTTTGTAGTGCACCTGCATTTGTACCTCTGTCATTTGCTCAGCAGTGACCTTCAGTCCCTTTGTTCACACTTGGGATTCACTTGAGCTTGTGAACTCTCCCATGCAGGAGCTGTTCCATTGCAGAGTTGGTTTTACTGTCAGTGTGTGCAGGTGTCCCTGGACAGAATCACAGTGTAAGTGGGATATATATCCAGTGTCTCCAATGTGTTTGAGGAGCTAATCTCTGCAAACAACTTCTTCAGCAGCTTCCCAGTGCCTGAAGGAAGTCTTCAGGAGAGATGGAGAGAGACTACTTACAAGGGCCTGGAGGGAAAGGACAAGGGGAAAGGCTTCACACTGAAACAGAGTGGGTTTAGATGAGATATTGGGAAGTAATTCCTCCCTGTGAGGGTGCTGAGGCACTGGCACAGGCTGCCCAGACCAGATGTGGCTGCCCCATCCCTGGGAGTGTTCCAGGCCAGGTTGGACAGGGCTTGGAGCAACCTGGACTAGTGGAAGGGGTCCCTGCCCATGGCACGGGGGTGGAATGAGGTGATCTTTAAGGTCCTGACCAACCCAGGCCATTCTGTGATTCAGCTTGTGCCAGAAGGAGTAAAACTTGAGCTCAGCCTCATTTGCAGCACTTCTCCTCTGGAGAAGGAAAGGCACAAGCAGAGCAGTGGCTGTGAGCTGTGGTTGTTGGGCAGGAGCTGTTTCAGATGACACCCTGAGAGCATTTCAGCACAGCTTGAGATTCTTTGCTGGTCTTTTGCTGGAACCTCCCTGCTGTGCTCTTGCTCACTCCCAGCAGTCTCTGAGCTTCGGAGTTTCACAGGCAGTTTGTGTTTGCTGCTCAGCTCGAGCAGCTTTGGCAGAGGTTGGTGCTGAGTGGCACATCCAGCTGAGTGCTGACAATTGTCCTTTGCTGGGTGGAGTGGGCACTGAGCAGAACTGGTCTGCAGGAACAGATGGTGCCCAGCATTACTGGGCAGTACAGATGTTTCCCAATATTCTTTCCTTTCCAAACAGCTGAGTATGATTTCCAGAACCCACAGGTGTGTGAGAGGGTGTCAGCATGGGCTGACAGTTGGAAATGGAAACTGATTGCAGGCTGAGGGAAGAGAATGGATCTGTGCTGCATCACAAGCTCCAGGTCCTGTGCAGGGCCAGAAGAGAGCCTAACACCCTGCCAGTGTGCTAGGAAAAGAGCCCTGATTTCAGATAACCAGGATAAATAGGAGTACTAGGAATTTATTGATAACATATCAAATTTTTCCAGATGTTGCAAATGTTTTGCTTGTTGTTTTCTGCTGCTTGGTTTGGTGCTGCACCTGACAGTGCTGGGTTAATGGTGGGACTGGATGATCTTAGAGGGCTTTTCTAACCTTAATGATGCAGTGAAAGGATTTGCTGTGCTGAATTGCTTTTGTCCTTGCCTGGAGATCTCAGAGAATAAAAAGTTCCCTCAGTTCCACCATTTATACCATGTTCTTTGAGACGAGACAGCAGAGAGAATATCAAATGACACTATTTCATATGTTCAATTAGTTCTACGCACAATCTAAATGTCCTTTGCAAATTTGCTGGCTAAAAAGGATCTTGTCCCTCTTTATGCAAAACATGACATCATCTGTGACTCTGAGGTGACCTGGAAAGAACAGGATCTGCCCCTGGAATGGGGCAGCCCTGGCTGGGCTGGGGACTGAGAGGCTGGACAGTAGTGCCACAGACAGGGACCTGAGGGTCCTGGTCAATGGCCAGTTAAATGTGAGCCAACAGTGTGTCCTGGGAGCCAGGAGGGACAGCTGTGTCCTGTGGGCATCAGGCAAGACATTACCAGAGGAAGAGGGAGGGGATTGTCCTGCTCTGCCCTGTGCTGGGGCAGCCTCACCTGGAGCGTTGTGTGCAGTTTGGGCACCACAAGATAAGAAAGATACTAAGTTGTTGGGGAGCATCCAAAGGAGGCAACAAAGATAGTGAAGGGCCTTGAGGGGAAGCCACATGAGGAGTGACTGAGGTCTCTTGGTCTGTCCAGCCTGGAGAAGAGGAGACTGAGGTGCGACCTCATTGCTGGGTACAAATTCCTTATGGAAGGAAGTGCAGGGGCATCTCTGACCTCTGCTCTGGAGCCAGTGACAGGACCCAAGGGAATGGTCTGAAGTTGTGTCAGGGGAAGGTTAGGGTGGGTGTTAGGAAATACCCAGAGGATGTTTGGGCACTGGAACAGCTCCCCAGGGCAGTGGTCACAGCCCCAAGCCTGACAGAGCTCCAGGAGTGTTTGGCCAATGCTCTCAGGCACAGGGTGGATTGTTGGGGTGTCCTGGGCAGGAGTTGGACTGGTGAGCCTTGTGGGTCTCTTCCAGCTCTGTATACTCTGTGATTCTGTAGCCACTGTTAAGACCAGAACAGGAGTTTCACTGAGCTGTGTCACCTCTGAACATCAGTGCACACAGGTGTAAGGGAAGGATTTGTGCTGTGAACATGTGAATGAGCCAAGAGCAGAGTCCAGAGCTGTTCTAACCCAGCCCTGTGCTCTGTCCTGCCCTAGAGAGTCAGCTGTGACCCTGGTGAGAAGTGGCTCCTACACGCGGCAGCCCTGGAGGAACGAGTCCAAGGAAAACGAAGCTCCTCACTCTGGGGCACCTACTACCTATGTATCTACCTACTTGAAAAGGTAAGTCCAGTTCTGCCTCACATTGGTTCCTAGGCAGCTAGTTCCACTCCTAACATGCCTCCCAAGCCTCAGCCTCCTGCTTGCTGCCTGCTGCATCTTGTCACTGGCCCTGGGACCTTCTTCTGCTGAAAGTAGGAAAAAAAATTGAGATTTGCTGACATTTTTCAAGCTAAATAGTATTTTTAAAGGCCATAATTTTTGTTTGTTTGTAAATTGCTGAACTGAATTTAAATATAACTCACATGCAAAGTCTTTTCTCATTTAATGTTGATGTTATGGTTAGAGAATAAAACCAAAATGGAACATAAAAAGAGATTAAATCAGAGTCTGAAAGCATTGTCAAATAGCTGTTGGCAGGTAAGTTGTAGCTTATGTCTAATTTTGGTTTATATTTGTCCATGTTTATGGCATCATTATCAGGGAGTGGCAGTGATGTTGTGCATGACATACAGCACTTGCTGAGGAGTGAGACTGATATCTCCAGCCTTGTGGCAGTAAGGGAGCAGTTTGTGCACTGTGTGGGTGAACAGGAAGCCAGGAAGGCAATTCTAGGCAGAATTCCTGTACCTGCAGTGTCCTGTACCCCTCTGGGAGGCAGAGCCTCAGTGTCCTTGAGGTACAGCTAATGGCTGTCTCTGAGGGAGCTGAGGGGATTGCTCTGCTCTGGTGAGGCAAATCATGCACTGCTGGGATTTCATCTCAGTTGTGAACAGGAGGATCAGGGACAGTGCCAGCACCCCACCTTTATTCAGCTAGTACTGCAGCCCACCAAAACAGTATGAACATGTCCCATTGGGTCCCTCCTTAAGGAAAACAGCAGCAACAGTTCAAGGGTTTTGACTGAGTTTCACCGAATTCGAGACCCTGAGCTAAATAACTGCCCTGCAGGTGGAACAATTGCCTGAGGTATTTGGGAAGAGGCAGGTTATTGTGTCCCAGTACTGATGGTGGTAGAGGTAAGTCGTGCTGGAGGATGTGTCTGGCCCATTGCCAAGCACAAACAGCCCCATTGCCACAAAAGGTGAAGCAGCCCCTTCAGGCCTGAGCCTTGTGCTCTGCTGAGCCATTCCAGTGACTTCACAGCTATCCTGGGACATGATGACAGCTCAGCCTCCACAGCTTGGCTCTCCCCAAAGCTGATCCGACAAGCTGCAGCTGATTACATTGGAAAACTTTGGCCCCTTGCATCTGGTAGTGCCTCCTGCTCCCTGCCCTGGGGGGCAGCCCAGACACCCACAGGCTGTCCCTTGCACCCTTACAGACATTGCCTGTTTATCCCAGCTAATCCTGCCCCAGATTTAGTGTCACACTCACAGAGCTGTACTGTATTTCCTTGGTTAAACTGGACAGAGGGCAGGGAAGGTTTAGGCTGGCAGTGAGATGTCGCTGAGTTCTTGTCACAAAGGCTGAATTCTGCCCTTTTGTGAGAGTGTTGGTTTACAAGCACTCATAGAGAAAAGCTTTGCCAAGTAGGGATAGATGTGCTTTTAAAAGGGAATCATAGAATCATCAAGGTTGGAAGAGACCTCTAAGATCATGAAGTCCAACCATTAACCTGTCACTGCTGGAACCCCTAAACCATATCCTCCAGCACCAGGTCCAGACACCACTCAAACACCTCCAGGGATGGTGACTCCAACACCTCCCTGGGCAATATTCCAGTGCCTGAACACTCTTAACAGGGAAGAATGTTTTCCTGCCATCTCCTCTACGTTTGCCCTGTCTCAGCTCAAGGCCATTCCCTCTAGTCCTCTCCCTACAGCCATGGCAGGAGAGACATCCCCCACCTCTCTCCAGCCCCTGTCAGGGAGTTGGAGAGAGCCATGAGGTCATCCCTGAGCCCCTTATTAAGGCTGAACAAACCCAACTCCCTCAGCCCTTCCTCATGTGCTCCAGACCATTTCTGCCCTTGTTGCCCTTCTTTGGACTCTCTCCAGTGCCTCAATGGCCTCTTTGCAGTGAGTGCCCAAACCTGACCCCAGCACTGAGCTGTGACCTCCCCAGTGCTGAGTCCAGGGGGATGAGCACTGCCCTAGTCCTGCTGCCACACTGTCCTTGCTCCAGGCCAAGATGCCCTTGGCCTCCTTGGCCACCTGGTCACACTGTTGGCTCACACTGAGCTGCTGCCACCAGCACTGCCAGTGATGGGAGGCTGATGATGTGTCTGTCCATCCACTTCTGACCCACTTCTGGCCCTGGCAGGAAGAACGGGCGCGG